ACGTCTAACAATAAACTATAATAATAATTCACGAATGCGCGTATAATTTATTATTGAATTGTTCACATGATATTGTATAAATATATACAAATATCGTATATTCATTATTTAACGATGCACTACCGCGTCTTTTTCTTTGAGATTTAATGAACGACGTGGTCGTTTAATTCAACGCGAGCTCCAAGTTTTATGGTGCGCCTGTTAATGGCCATCTTAATATCTAGTAATCATTTGCGAGATTTCCTCACCTTACGACACGGTCATTTCGTGTTTACGAGAACTACACGCGATTCCGGCATATTTTATCGTTTCGCAGTGTATGTTCACTGGGAATTTACCCTTTCTTTCACTTCGTATATTTATCTATATTTATATATATATATATGTTCGAAGTCGGGATAAGTCGTGATACACGTGGCGAGCAAAACTTGTTTACTTGGTTTAATAGCCTGAATAGATTAATTGTCATATATTATACATTCAGTCTATATAAATTCTAGAACATCCGTGATATCTTATTAAACAAAGTGCTTACTTTCGTGTGTTAATACGCTGTCAAGCTAAGCAATCATTAGAAAAGTTTATTTTCAAATAAAAATAATCTCCCATTTCTCTGCGTCGATTGAAGACAACTTTATTATTGCAAATCTAAAAAGACTTTCTAATTTATTCATCAATCCACGTAACAACTATTGCAAAATAAATTTAATTACATTATAACGTTATAATATTATAATCACCCATTTTCGTCGATTAATTACTGTTATTGTTATCATAATATATGTCAGTTCAGAATGTCAATGTTACGTAATTTTTAGACAATTCAAGCGTTCAGCTCCTCGCTGAGTTTTGACGAACTTGCTTTTGACCTTCGATTTTAACCATTTTCCTCGTTACACTGACTCCTTTGTCTATTCATTAGCGGACGCATAAAGCCCGAAGATTCTTGAACTGTGGTTAATTGTTGTGGGAACTATACGATACTTTGCGGATGTTTCCGGGTAAAAGGATGCGCAACTTTACGGACATCGTTTATTCTCACTTTATTATTGTATATACAGAGAAGAGCACATTAATTCTATACTCGGACACGTCAACTGATCATTATAAACGCGAATTATTATCATGATTGTTTTATTACACGTAGGATTCTTCGCCGTATACGATCAATATCTCCGGCAATAATGATCGGCGCTTTTATTCTCGCCGGGATATCGGCTCGTTCGGCGAAATTACAATCTATAATCTCGAAATGCAACTGTTGTGAATGAAAATTATCGCGCGCGATAAGGAACTCGAGATTCAACACCGATAAATAATTAGTGCCGTCTGTACACAATGTTTCTCGACGTGATTAATTGCACTGATAAGGCGAACGTTGTTGAAATTCCATATGGATATTAAATTAAGACTATTTTCTATTGCGTTTCAACGCGAGAGATGTTGCGTCTCAATTTCGAATTTCGAGCTGCATCTATTGCATCCAGATACTGGATGTAAGCCAGCTTCCGACAAACGCGATTTGTCAAACGACATTCATACGCGAGTATACATTGAAGAAAGAGCTTCATTGTGACAGGAAGGCATTTCGCTTTACACAACGGATTTCAATAGATAAAGAAAAAACAGCATATAAATAGAAAGTCTTTCGATGGGATCTTATCGAGGCCAGAAATGAATAAAATAAAATTTAAAAAAATGTGTTTGAAAAAAATACATAAAAACTTTTAATAAAATTTAAAAATCTCTCTAACGTGAGCAAATAATTTTTTTTATATATGTATAGCATAAAATACATATTAGAAACAAAATAAAAGCCTGCGAGATATCAAGAGACACGAATATAAATATCGAAGGCTATTGAAAATCGATAATTAAACCGAGTCGTTGAAAAAAAAACTTGAGAATATAAATTATACCGCGTCAACGAGAGGTAAATTTTACATCATCCGAGATACATTCGCGATTTTAACGATTGCACTTTTGGAAATGATTGCCGAAGTGCATTCCTCACGTGTTCTCGTATATAAATACATACTTGCGCAATCGCGAAGCGTTATAAATACTCGATCCTCGGCTCTCTAATCCGGTCGGATCACGAGACTCTCTGATCGATCTGTCCCCCTAGGATTCCGTTGAAACGCGCAAAGACGTATCTACACGATACCTGGGGATACGAAACATGCCGAATATGCGGCATGTACAGTAATGCTCGGCTGGTTGGCGCCACACGGACCGATTTATATCGGAGTAACGCGTAATAAACGTGATATTATACACGGCGAGATATGGCGCGAGCCCGATTACGGCTGGCCGAAATGAATTATTATCTTCTTCGTGTAATAGCCAGGTCACAATAAGCCGCGAAAATCGACGATCATGATTCGACGCGATCCCCACGAATGGAATACAGGAATTATTTAATCCTGTATATATCGGAGAGAAAGAGCGCAACCTCCGGAGTAGTATTTACGCACGATGTACTTATTGCCTTATTGCACGAAATATGCGAAGGTCGATATGTCAGTGTGTCGTGCCGAGCATCTCAGGGCATTCATCTCGTCGCGTTGCTCCTAGCCGAGAAAATTGTCTCGAAAATAATTCAGACGCGCGTAAAAAGAAATGATACATTTTTTACTAAAAATGGAAAAAAAATTGGCGCAAAGAATATTATTTTATAACAATTTGACGATTGAAAAAAAAAATATATATATATATATGTATATCTCTTTGAGATTCGTGAAATTAAAATTGTCTCCGAAGAGATATCTCAGATAAAAATAATCTCGAAAATAATTCAGACGCGCGTAAAAAGAAATGATAAATTTTTTACTAAAGTTTAATAGAAAAAAAATTGACACAAAGAATATTATTTTATAACGATTTGACAATTAAAAAAAAATATATATATATATGTGTCTATATCTCTTTGAGATTCGTGAAATTAAAATTGTCTCCGAAGAGACATTTCAGATAAAAAATGTTCGCGTGAATTCATCTCGTCGGGTTGCTGCTAGCCGAGAAAATTGTCTCGAAAATAATTCAGACGCGCGTTAAAAGAAACAATAAATTTTTTTACTAAAGTTTAATAGAAAAAAAAAATTGGCGCGAAGAATATTCTTTTATAATGATTTGACGATTGAAAAAAAAAATATATATAATAATGTACATACAGCTCTTTGAGATTCGTGAAATTAGTATTGTCTCCGAAGAGACATTTCAGATAAAAGGTGTTCGCGTGCCTGCTTCGTTCCCTCGGCAGTTAAACAATTCTCTTTTATTGCGCTTCGTGCGACACGAAATGCTCGACACGTTATTTTGGATGCTGCGCCGACTAGAACCGTCGGTCGCCGGGAAAATAGTCACCTACGACTCACGTGAGAAAATCGATCGTTAACTCGTTGTGTGAGCGGAGAGGTACATATGTACTTTAGAAGCAGGGCTGGATCTCTCATAGAGACGCGGTCTCTCGAGAGAACGTGTGTGCGCTCTCATATTTTCCTACGTTCCGTTTATTGAAATTGCTTTCCCAGAAGTGGACTAAACTTAGGCGCAAATTGACAGCGTCATCAACGGCACAATTCAATTTCAGCTTATCACAGGCTAGCCGAGTAATTTACATATGGAGTGTATATAAGATCGCCGCAATTTCTGCGATTCTAAAACGCGCGACTCTGATTATATCACATGCGTGATTTTAATTCACGAGGACGAAAGATTTACATAATATCTGCGATGCTCATTGATGATCATTCGTCAATGTCCAGGAAGGTTGTTATTTCGCGCGAGAGAAACATTTACAATGATGCATCGTTGCACGTGTTCCCCTTAATGTTTTTCATCATTTTACATACTGACTAATGGATATTTAAATATTTTCCAACAATATCAATTGCTGCAAAACAATCCTTGCGATATTAATTAGCGTCGAGAGAGCCATGAGGGAGCGTTTACAAGAAGTTGTATCAATCATCGCTCGTACGGTGGATATATGTGTTGCAATTTGTAATTGTGCGGATGACGTCATTATTTATGAATCTCGCGTAGAGATACGGCGGAGAGAAAATCTCGGAGTTAAATTAAACGACGAGGATTTTATTTTGGAAGAACTTCGTTTCATGCTGCCTGAAATATATTTTTCTCACATTACGTTCCTTTCGGCACACATATTACACCTACACACGCGCAAATTAAAATTAGATAAATGCAGCTAACATTTCCGAAGCTATTTTTCCTGATCGAAATTAACATTTCACAAATACCTGCCGCCCATAAATTTATTTCAATATCTTTTGCACTAAAAATATTTTTCGGATATCCGCTTTTATAGCAAATCGAAGGGACACTATAAATTCTGTATTTACTATATGGATTCGAAGTACTATTTCGTACGAGAGTCTCGGTTCAATCCTTTATAGATCGACATTTATAAGTTCGACTCGTTTGACCACACACATTCAGAAGTTCTATTTATTCAACCCTCGGGTGCCGCGTTTTACCTTCACCAATCATTCGAAACCTGTCCGATCTTATAATTTGTCTTATTTATATTGTACCACCCGTCCATTAAATTTGAACAAAATTAATAGACATTTCGAAAACTTTTATTCAAAAGACAACTTAATTAATAATTGTGTTACAATATTTAGAACGCTGCTTTAAATAATTGAATTGGGTCCTAATAAAATATCTGTACACGTGTGTATATATTCGTCTTTAAAATGTATTCAAACATGTTCACGCGTATTTTTGAACAAACATATTTTTCCATCAAATATTTTCGTTTACAGAGAAAAAAACATTTCAAATTCAGCTTTCAATTCTCTAGTCTGATTATCAGACGTATATATATATATAAATTTCATTTCGCACAAATTTGAAGTCAAACCGGACACAGTCCGCATCTATTATCCATTCGTCCGGAAGTTACAATAGAAGGGGACTACGACGCGAAATGTGTTTGCGAAAGGAAATCCGACAATGCAGTGCACACAGTTTACCTTTCTCCCTGGTTGACCTCTTCCTGAGATCCTTTCGCCTGTATAGACTTTCCGCTCTGCCTCTTCCGCCTTTCCCCAGTCTCTTCTCCGCTCTTCTTTAAGATCTTCCTCTCTCTCTAACAGAGAGCTCAATGGGAATAGCGTAATAATTTCGGATCAAATAAGAAACCGCGGGATCGATCGATAATAGCAGAAAGCGAGATGCACTCGGTCGTTTTCTCGCGCGCACGATAAGAAGATATCCCGATCGCAGGATAAAACATTGGTCGGAAAAATAAAGGGAAGGAATGCAAACGCGAAGAGAGATTTTCTCCGTGTTTTTTTTTCTCTTTCGACAGCTGTCACCACGCACTCCGTTCGCACGCACGAGCGACCGATCGCGCGCGAGCTTCGAAAAGCAATGCAAGCGCGAGCGACACGTTCCTTCTCCTACGTTCTTACGACGTTGCTTCCCGGCTCGTGCTTCGGTTTCTTTCCCTCTCCAGCGAATGTTCACACCACTCTCTCGTTCGTTTTCCGTCCCTTTCTCTCTTTCGTCGCGACTCTCCTTCTCTCTCGATCTCTGATACTTGGTGTATTCTCCGTCCTCGTCGCATCTCTCTCTCTCTCTCTATATCGACGACTATCCTCTTTCCCGATGATCTTCTCCTCGTTCGTATTCACCTCCGTCCCTCTTATTCCCGGTTACGAATCTTCTGACCTTCTCTTTCACTCGCTCCTCGTGTCTTCTTCAAACGATCGCTGTCTCTTTTGTCTTCTCTTCCGATCGAAGAGCCTGCTCCAGATCAATTTCATTCCCTCATTTAATGTTGTTTAGACAGCACACGGAAGAAGAATACGCGACTTGATATACTAGGTTTTCCGTGGAAATTCATTGGTTAAGTCAAACTAATATTTTTAGAGAGATTTGAATATATTTTCTTCTAATTAATAATAAAATGTATCCTTTGAATTAACAAAAATGAGAATTTTAAATGGTGTGTTCCACTTATGAAGATATCTTCTTCTTTCTGTACTGTTTCAATTCATCATACTTAACTCTTTTGAATAAACATGTTCTACGTGCATGTTCTCACCTTGATGAAGACTTGACCGCCTCTTTTGTATAGTCGTATTCATAACATATTCATACATATTCATGCATAATCTCTCTCTTAAAGACGAGCTCAACAATATAATTCATGAAGGTCGCCTCACTTTTAAAGGTGGTCTTAAATCATTTCCAATTTCATAAACGAGCACTTGCTCGATCAAGTCTTTTGCGTTTTAAAATCCGCTATTCTCAAAAGACGTCATTATACGAAGCGACCCATCTGCTTTATTTTAAGAAGAATCGAGAATAAAGTGCGTTTAAGACGATACCTTGAAGGCCACCTGGAAATTCCACTACAATTATTTATCAGCCCGTTTCAAGACTACGTTCTATCTAAGCTTGCTCCAAGTCTCGACTGTACGGATACCATCTATGCTCTTGACTCTTCTATTGCTCTCTCGCTCTCTCGTGTTCTCCAGCCTCCACATAGTGAGAACTTTACCTACCGCACTCTACATCCGTTGCCTAGAGTCATGTCTGACGGCTTCGAGATCTCTTCGCTATCTCTTTGCCGTCTAATAGTCGCCACCCTCGATCCAGACATCTTTCTATTTCGCCTCGTCGTCATCTCGTCGCGTTTACTTTTCCTTCTCTTATTTTTTCTTCATCTTCTATTATCTCCGAGATCAAGATATTTGCATATTCCTCGCTATCGCGATCGCAATTAAATCCTCTCTTCTCTGTGCAAATTTGCAGAAATTAAAGAGAGCTTAAAGTTTGTTATAGTAAGGATAATAATTTCAAAGAAAAAAGTATAATATGTCGAAAATGTCACCGAGAAATTTATAGATTTGATTTAAAAAATTCAATATAAATATTTGATATCAATTCCCTCGCTATTGATCGCAATTAAATCTTTTCTACACAAAATTTTCAAGAAGATTAGAGGAAGATCGTTGACATAAATTTTTCGGTGACTTTTCGATGCATCGCTTTCATGATACATTTAAATAATAATATATATATATATATATATATATATATATATATTTTGTATACCTTTCTCTTTTAAATTATTATTATCCTTATTATAACAAACTTTCTCCGATTTGTTTTTCAACAATCGCAGCTGTTTGTGTTTCTTTGCCAACGCGAGCGTCAGATACGAGTTCCCAGCGATACTCAGAAGACGTGTCTCCACACCCACGTGCCGGCACGAATATATATATATATGCGTTCGCACGAACAGATTCTCAGCACTCTTTCGCGCCGTATAATAATTGCGGGTATCGTCGGAGATTGGATCCGGATACAACCGCTCAACTGGCGACTGGGGGCAAGATACTAAGCAGCCGCTTCCTCTTTTACGTCCCTACCGTTTGTAAACAGATTGTTAATGGTAAAGCACGCGTCGTTTTAGTGGTAATTCCGTTGCCGACAAAAAGCTTATTATTAATTGCCGTGAGTAATCTCATGAGATGGACCAGAAGATGAATCACTCGATACGAAATTGAATAGTAACTTTGAATGACGATTAAATATTCAACTGCGACAATTCGTAATATGTATATAATTTTTTTATATATCTACATTTTTCCTAAATTTATATATTCATTGTAATATATTATATTAAATATATAATATTAATCTTAGTTTTTATTAAAGAATATTTTATATATATTATATAACATATTTTTGATTTTAATATTAAATATATGACAAATATAAAAAAGTAGAAGTCTCGTAGACTTAACTAACAGTAAATATAAATAATAAAATTCACAAATTTGTTTTTATACTTGACACATCTTGACTTAATTTTATGTGGAATATAATCTAAAGCAATGATAGATAATTAATTAGATACATAAAGCAATGTCTAAAATATCTAGCAATAAGATAGATTGATAAAGAAAATATGGAGAAAAATAAGAAATCTAATAAATATCACAAATTACAAATTCCATTCTAGAAGTGACATATGCACTTAAGCACTCGCGTTTATGTTCTTTTACCATCGAGAAATTCCATAGCTATCTGTAACGAGATATCCTAAGGAGCATTTATCTTTTATGTTGTCTTTTACTACTTATATAGGGCCGATTTTTCCAATTTCTCAATAAATTCTAAAAATGGAGATAAAGATATGCTACTTATCAGGTAAAAACTTACCAAGTGTTGGAACAACCGGCCCTTAATACGATTAAATAAAATAGAGTTTATAGAATCAACATACTATAATAAAGGAATAGAAATCGAATTAAAAACTTTTTTAAAATTATGTATATAAATATATATAAATCTTGTGTAAAATTATGTTAAATACATATAAAGTCAATTTAAATTCCCTATATGCCTTTTACTCATATTAAAACATGTCTGATTAATATTTGAAATTTCATTAATTTTTTTACACACGTATACAGCAATTCGTACCGATATGCATCGCGCAATTACAGATTGCATTGCTAATGACACGGTAGCAAACTACCGTTCTCTAGGGAAAAGATAGAGAGACAGAAACTCAATTGACAGGGCGTTAATCATTCTCTAGCAATTCCGTCAAGCAATTATCTACTTCGATTGCAGGTAAGCGCATCTCGATATCCCGTCGTGGTGAAACTGGGCCACGCTCACGGTGGGACTGGCAAAGCTCGTGCGGAAACAAATCAAGAATTTCTAGATCTCGCCTCGCTGGCAGCTATGGCGAACACTTACTGCACGGCGGAACCTTACATCGACACTAAATACGACGTGCACGTGCAGAAGATCGGAAATAATTACAAGGCTTTCATGTAAGTCGCGTCAAAGTCCGCGATAAAATTGATTAATTGAGGAAAACATTTTTAATAATTATTAGGTGTTAAATAATTTTATTCTAAATAAAATAATTTATTCAAAATAATTTTTAAATTATTTAACATATTAAATTTCCTCGCTCATTTAGAGTTGGTCTATTTTTTCTTCTAAATTTTTTAATTAAAGAAGCTTGAGGTCATAAAAATCAACAGTTTTAAAAGAGTGATTTTGATAATCAGCAGAACAATATTTCAGAATAATGTAGCAACGTTATTTTGTAGAATAAATAATTAAATCGCGATCGCACGCTTTTATTACCGCTCTGATCTCTACAGGCGAAAAAGCATAAGCGGCAACTGGAAATCGAATACCGGTTCGGCTATGCTGGAGCAGCTTTCTGTCAGCGAGCGACATCGCACATGGGTCGACCACGTGGCGCAATTATTCGGAGGATTAGATATCTGCGCGATCGAACTGCTGGTAGGCAAGGATGGTCGGGAGCATATAATCGAGGTCAACGACAGCGCGCTATCATTAATGGGAGACTCCCAGGAAGAGGATCGACGTCACATCGCGGACCTGGTCACTGCGAAGATGCAGGTGCGTGCGAGAGATTGCGAACGATTACGCGCGCCCGTGATTGCGATCGTTACGTATAAATTGTAATTTACTAACTGTACAGGTTTACTGTCGGCCACCGAGTGTGTTGACCAAGACGGCCTCGCGAGGCTCGATGTCAGGTTCTAGCCAGGTGACTAGTCCAGTTCAGGAAGATCGAACTGCACCGCCACCAGTACCCTTGGATCTCACGGAAGTATGGGTTCGATGGCTAGTATAGGAAGTTTAGGCTCCGCAGGTTCCACCGCGCCGATATCGAGTGACGTCACTGCCTCGGACAGTCATCATCAATTACAGCGGCGAGATTCTCAAGGTATATCTATTTGTCCCCAACAATTTTACTCATAAAAAAAATGTAAAAATAATACTCAAACACGCGATAAATTTGAAAAAATCAGGTGCAACAAATTTAATCAAATGTGGATTCATTATAATCGTAATTAATGTTAACGAAATTTCATGAATAAAAAATAAATATATAAAATATCTATCATTATTCACGTTTAAAAAATTATGGTAGCATTAAAGAAATGTTAATTGGCTAAATAGTCTTCATTTTTAAATTAGAAATGATGAATGTTTTTAATTTTGCTAAATGTTGTGCATAAAATACACACTGTATTTTTACATCAATATTAAAGAATAAAATTGTGTATACATGCTCCTTTATATTTCTCAAACATTAATTTGCTGCTCTTTATCGACTGACATTTTATACGAATCGATTATATTTAATTTTATAAATCCTATTCTCAATTTTGCTAAATAGTTGTGCATAAAAATACACAAAATATTTTTACATCAACATAGCAGAATAATATACATACATATGTATATATTTTACACATTTGTTCTTTATATATTTGCTCTCTTATATTTTTCAAATATCGATTGCTGCTCTTTGTCGACTGATTTTACACGAATATAAAAAATATAAAAAAAAAATAGAAAAAAGCGCAACGATATTTAATTTGATAAATCCTATTCTGAATTTGCTCGCAGCTTCTCAATCGAGCACAGTGAGCAGTGCGCCCTCGGTTGGTCGACGTCCTGAGGAACCGCCAGCGATACCCTTGACATCCAGAATTCCGTTCCACCGGCAAGGCAGCCAGTCGCAGACCCAGGGCGAGGACACCGAGGACACGATGAAGAATTTGCGCAAGACCTTCGCCGGGATTTTGGGGACATGTAGGCCACAAGATACGGCCGACGTAGCGAGAGCGTAGACGTCGAACTCTCTCGCCCTGAGGTAGCTAATGATAACAAGTCGGCAACGTTAACACGAACTCACGAATTACTTCGACGATCCCTAAGCATGTTCGACGATTGAGACTCGACGTGACTCAATTGAGCAAATCTTACATGAATATCGGAGCATGTAGATATATATCTATATATTTGCAGATTATCGTAGAAAATTCTCGCGCGAAATTGCATGCCGCGCAAAGTGCAACTATTAATCGTTCGAATTTAATCGAATAAAATTATTGGAAAATTACAGACCAAGCGGGATAGATTGAGATTGGGAAAGATAAAAAAAATGACGGAGAGACCGGAATTTCCCGTGTTCAACGATTTATTTAAGCTAACGCGCCGTAGATAGATCCTGTATATTGAGAGAATCATGATCGTGTGTATGTGTGCATACATTGGAGAATAAAGTAGTTCTATATATAATCACGTGTACACGAATTTAATTGAATAAAAGTTAGGCAAGTTCAGTCGAGAAAAAATGGCAACAGTATTTAATAGTCAGCTTCGATGTTTATTGAATTGCTATATCGCGATACCCGGTGTAGTATTTGCATCACGTAATAAACCGTATATAATAGGCGCGCTTTCTCACACATAAAGGCAAGGCAATGATTCCGTAGGCCCCTGGCGTCTCCTCAACCAGTTTTACTTCGAGCACCCACTTTTAGGCTTAACGTTTGGATCGTCGTGTGTCATATTGTCATTTAAGGGAAAATGCATTGCGAGATAGAAATTAAGGCAGGCAATGGGCGTCATTTAGGCGATCTCGCAGTGTTTGTAAAAATATTTGTACGCCTACGTCATTCGAGATGATCGAAGACGACAAAAAAAAGAGGAGATTCGGGCATTATTCTGAACTTTTTGGCTAACCGAGACTGCAAGCGGTCGTTTGGTTTCATCGAAAACTACAGGTCGGGAAGGACGAATGTATAGTTGTCTCTACTTTTAAGCGCACAAGTAGTTTTTAAGGTAAATCAAAGGGAAGGAAGCGCCGCGTTTCTCGATATCGCGGACGGAATGTCGAATTTTCGAAATTTATATCCGCGATATATAATCTTACTCTCGTCGCGCGATTGATCAACCGAGATATATATCAATGAATTAATTCGCTAACAAATTTCCGAGGAGAGCATCTCCTAGCGTGTAAAATTCTCATTGACGAAAAAAAAAATTTATCACGCATTTCGAGAGAGAGATAAAGAGAAAAAACGCGATACCTTCTTTTTCGAATGCATTCATATCGAGAACTGGTAAAATTTATCGCATTAGACAAAACGCGTCGTCGACGGAAAATTCACGAAAATTTGGTCGCCGTGTTTTCTTAGGATTAAGGAGTCATGCGAATTTGCATGTGCGTGTTTGAATCTTGGCGCGAGAACCGGAAGGATCGATCGAAAAGCAAATAAATCGAACTGGAGCGGATATCCGATTGCATGCAACGCGGAACAAAAATGAATATATCCCGATACAAAGATCTGCAAATATATACATATACGCATATGTATGCGCAAATAAACAGACTGAATGTAATATATCGGCGAAGTGTAACCAATTAAACGCGGAGAGAAGCAATTTTCAGCGAGTGATCGAATCTTAATAGAATTAACGAAAGAAAGACCGAGAAATAATCAACTGTGGTTTCAGCTCTGGAAAAAAGGAAGGCTCAACGTTTGCAATCCGACAAATGTGGAAAAAAAACCTAAACTTCGCTGAAGAAAATAGTCGCTAAATGTGATAGAAAAATATTCGAGAAATATCAATTAATGTGTGATTAATTGATATAAATAATATAAAAGCGTAAGCTCTTTTTTTTAACTACTAACGCGAAGGGAGAGCGAATTTATTTGAAAGTGAAATCTCATTTGGAACACTTTTACATATATGTAATAGAAATCTTCTATTATATACGATTTTGTCGTGTCTCTTTGGCGGTTCTTTAACTGCATAAGTAATAAAAATAATTGACGGTTTGATTTTCATGTGCCTTGACACTAAAGTGTCCTTTGTATCACGTTATTCGCGAAACGGTTGACAAGTGTGCGTTAAAAAAGGGATAAAAAATTTTTCCAAGATACCAATTTTTCGGCAAAAATGCTGATCGATGCAACGAACGGGACGACGTAGAATATTACACAACAGCATTTTGAGGCATTGCACTTTTTACCGCGTTTACCTCTCTATTGTTTTTGTACTTTTTTATAAATCTTAATCTCATTGCATTTGTATATTCGCTGAGACGCACTGTTTCTTCATTGATCTTTGCCGTCCAAGCTTACATTCGTTACAACATTTGTGCACTTTCGAGATCAAGAATGCGTTATATAAATAAGTGAGTTGTATATATAAATTTCTGTGGGAATTTATACATAAAATTGCGATTCAAACAGTGTTTTTCGATTCTGCAATAACGCGGCAACACAAAAAATGTCTTCCGTGCGTTGCAAAACTGAATAATTCAAGCAGCAGATCTCAGTGTGTAAGCGAAACAGATATGTCTTAGCCCTTAATAATCCTTTACATCAATCTTCAACGCAATTATATTTCTGTAGAAACGTGTTTTTTCAAAATATTGATCGTCAGTCTGATTCATATATTAGAACCTTCCGTTTCTTTCTTCACATTGGAAAATATACTTGAAATTTGTAGCAAATTTCGATTAAAGTTAAAACAGGGAAGCAAAATAAGACTGCACAGATTTTTTGCTCGACGCACAGATATCTCCGGTTCCGTTTTTTTCAGAGCTGACGCCACGATACGGAGAAGAGCAATCAAATAATCTCATAATCACGTCACTGCGCGGAGGTCAATCGATCGACACTGGATGCGTATTACAGATGACGCGGTTACAGATGAAGAATATCTCAGGGGTGCGAGTCTAGGCACTAGATAAACATAGGAAAACTAGAAGCGACAACGCGTGCGTCCACGCATAGCCTAGTCAAATCATCGACGTCGACTTCAGATAGAGAAGCGGATAGAGTTAGGATTCGCTTGTGCGAAGAAATCCTTGTGACTGTGATCCTCAGGATTGTCTGTATGAAAGAACACTTTTCGCGTGCACTTTTCTGTTCGATCAATCACCTTTTTCGATAAAGTCTTACATAATCGACGAGCTAATCTCATTTCTTTCCTCTTGACATTTCCAATTCTCGGAAATCTTCTTATAGCGCATGATAAATTTAGAAAATAGTATATTGTGTATCAAGTGCAGAAAGTTGACAATTGGTCACGAGTGCGGCCATCCCACACGAGTGAACAATTGTCAATCCGCACGTGGTACACATACTATTTTGTATTACAAGTGCAGGCAAAGTGGCTTTGTGCGCGTTTTCTGTGCGCGAGGTGGCCGATCGCACGCCGCTAGATGGCGGCGTGGGAAATCGGCTGCTTTCCGCACAGAAAACACGCACACAAAGTGCCACTTTGCCTGCACGTGTAATACAAAATAATTTGTCAGTTAATATATATATATTACAATATCGAAGTATCATCTATTATCAAATTTTCTGTGAATTAAAAAAAATATTATATAATTATCTTCTAAAAATTAATTGCGATCAATAATAATTTTATTTGTCAAAATATTGATAGTTGACTATATATTAAAAATATTAATTGATGAGTCGGAAAGTGATCGTTCGAACGTTGCACGCTGATAAATAGCGATACAGCATCGGGCATTTCATTGCTTGGATCATAACTTATCGAAGCGTTCTCCAGTAGTTAGTTCAGTTATGGTGACTGTGTAGTGTCGTGAGCGGCTGCATTCTCATTTTTGTTTCGTATATTGCACCAAGTAGCTACCAAGTAATAATGCACCAGCAATATTTGTAGATTAGCACACGCAGTATTTATAACCATGTATCGCGATCTTTTCAATTTTCTAGGATACGCGATCACGTTGCTGTCTATACATAATTGCGCCCACGAATTAAATCAACAAATAACGAGTACCGTTTTTTTCTTGCCTCGCGTAAAACGTAATATACGTATATGTGCGTATATATACAGCACGCACATATACTATATTTCATATAAAAAAAATCGCATTAATGAGAGAATTTCATTACCGATGATCTCCGACACTTTTCAGCCAAAAAAGCATCTATCTCTTCGTGTTGCGTCTTCCTTCAAAAATATTGACTATAAAATCATTCGTGCGATATACACGCAAGATTGATGAAAACGCGGTTACACGAAGAGAGTTCTGAATTATGTACGACGACGGTGTAAACCATCGTCTAACATCGTTCCGGAAACTCATCAATGCCCCATTCCCAGTTGTAAATTAGTGATCTCCGCAATATCGATCGTTGTGCATATAGTATAGAGTTTGAGCAAACGTTTTCCCTCTTCATGCAAGAGGGAACATCGACAAGCTATAAAATCTCCCCCACCTTCCCTTTCCCATCCCTATCCCCCGCAATCTCGACGATCCTCCGATTATCGCGAGAGGATCGTGCAATAAGTTATGGTTCGCGCGTGTTTCGCGCCTTTCGGATAGATTTTACGCTCTCTTATATATACGTATATACCTTTACTGTGCTTTCTGAGCATTCGTCACTGTACATCGAGGAGAAATCTCTTACGTACATATCATCTTGGCGCGATCGCGGAACTTGGGTGCCTCATTTCCTTCTCTTCCATTCACCTTAGCCGAGCAGTAGTGGCATGGGGTTTCTTTCAATAGTTTATTATTTTTACCTCCCTCTCCAACAAATATATATTTAATATATATTATAATATATATAATATATAATAGTATTATAATATTAAATATATATATAATATATAATATTATTATAATGTTAAATATATAATATTATTATAATATTAAATGTGTTATATAAAATATATATTGAATCCATGAGTGTTGTAACAAATTGCGATATGCACAGTGTCTTAAGATCGACAAAAATATCTGATTCTAGCCGAGAAGCAATTTAACTCGTTCGAGGAAAATCGAATTACTGAGATCATTCTTAGAATATTAGTTGAAGTTAACTGGGAGATCTGTAGTCACTTCATTTTAACTAACGTTCGTAAGAATGATTTATGACTCTATGCGACTACTGCCAAGTTAACAATGAATAATCGGATTGTTACGCTTTCGGAAACGCTGAAGTCTCGATATTTGAGAGAAATGAAAGCGTCGTCCTTTCGTATTTTTGTGTTCGAGAAGAAACTATTTTAAGAACTCGCTTAATGTTCTCGACCAATCGTTATAATATTGTGGCCGCCCGAAACACCAAAGTCTCTATAAGTAATTTACAACGAAAAGCGCAAATTCGTAATACGCGTTTCCAGTCAGGTCATCTTTGTTTCCCAGCCGAGAGGCGGCAGCCCAATAGAGGATAGAGTACGCATCATCGATTTACCCCCGATTACACGACGGCTCGTCTCTCTCTTGATAATACTCAGTAACGTATCTCTGTGTGTAACGAAACTTAAATGTTAAACTCGCGGACGGTAAACTTGGGAGAAAAGTAACGATAATAGCAGTAGGCGTGTAGGCGCGACGAATATATACGTTGCAGCCTAACACCATTGCATTACCTCCTTGATTTCAATGCGTGCTAGCCACATGTATGATACTCATTCACACACATATCTGTACACGAGCACACACACAAATACATACACACGGTGTTCACACAAAAATTGAATCGTATCATAACGCTATATAAGTAATATTATACTGTACGGTATGGTGTCGATGTTATTTAATCCCCGTTATTACATTATAAAGTCAGCCTATCGTGCCGTGGAAAGCAAGATACCGAGATATATTTATCGCGTTAAGATTTCAGGAAGACACAGGTCTAACTAATTTACGTAGATTCGTTAGGGATCGTAAACAAAAAAAAAATTAATTAACATAATCGGTCGAAGCGTTGAATTTATGCAAGATATATGATATACGTATGTATAATCCACGCAGAATACAGATTCGTAGATTAGTGGAAGATCGCGTCGACGAAGAGCTTAAGAGCCCCGGATCGTCGCTCTTTTTCAAGGAAATGATATTTACCGAACGTGAGCGAATTGATCATGCTTCGAAGAGAGAAAAAGGGAGAATCGAAGAGCATCGATGACCACGAACAGGCCACCCACGTGGAGAAAGGGTTGAATCGAGGCTACGTCATTCTCGAAAAATCGTCGTGACCCTCGTGAATCGGTTGACATTCACGCGGCGAGCCTTGAATTCAGATAAATTAAATACCAGCGATAATGACTTTTGACGTTACACGCGCGTGCGATTCAACTTGAAAAAAAAAGAGATAAAATTCTAATGAACAATGAGAATGGAGGAATTATTTGTTCCTGATGCATTCGAGTGCGATAGAAAAAAAATGCAAGATGTGCTAGTTCCAGAATGCTACTTTCATGCAGCTTGTATACTTTCCATCAGTCGCGGATTAAATTCAATTATAAAGGTCAATTAATTAAAAAAAAATCTATATATACATAATTTTACCGAGTCGGTATTTCTTCGATATGAAACAAACAATCAGATTTGATTCAATGCTATGTGACTTGAAATGAGAAATGGAAAAGTTCGATTCTCCTATCTCACGAGCAAGATCGATGCTCGGAAATCGGTGATATATTTCTCGAATCCGGAGAAATCGCAAAAAAAAACGGCGCAAGCGAAGAGTCGACGCGGTTCTTTTTAAACGATAAAAACTTTTAACGGTACTTAAGGTCACAAGCGTATTTTAAGTGGTCATTGAGAGGACAACGAATCAACAGAACGAGTCCTGAGCGTTGGAAACGAATGGGAGAGAGAATGGAATGAAACGAAAGAAGGAAATCAAAGGACGATTATATATGGAAGAACGTCCGAATGTAGTAATGTCACGCGCGCGCGTAGATTAGCGTGCGCGTTAAGTTATCACTTATATCGTAAACGAATAAAAAATCTGTATAAGTAAGTACCGGAGTAAGCGCGAAACGTGAGGAGGATTAAGTCACACACATAAAATGCGAGTTCTATCTGTCATCGTTAATTATTAAGGATTATCGGAGTTTAAAAAAAAGCTCTAAAGTTAAGCCGGAATCAAGCATATAAGAGTATAAGTTTGTAACCTGTAGCGAGAGAATACGCGAAGAAGTGTAGTACAATATTAACGAGAACGTGTATAAATATATATGAAGAGTATAAATAATATATATAAAGACAAATATTATATATATATATTATATATATATATATATATATATATATATATAAAATGCAGACGCATATAAATACAAAGACATGTAATTATTCCTATGATATGCAGCGTTAATCGTTAGATGTATGTCGAGATGCTCGTTACGATCGAGCTCTGTCGTTTGATTAAATGTTGCGTGTTAAATATCGCTTTTGCACATCTTGAGATGTTGGAAGAATTACGTGGATGAAACGCGAGTTTGTGAAGCAATTCAAGCTGATTCTGCTAGAAAAAGGACAAGAAGCGAAATCGGTAACGAGCATCGAGATCGACGTTGATCATCAAGCAGAACTTTTTCGAAGATTAGTCTACCAAATGAGATGTAGAAGTAGAGAGTAGATCATTTTCAGATAATAAGGTTGAAGCATGCTGTTTTTTGCCTAACATGTGCTATTCAATATAAGCGTACGAATTTGAAATAAATATGCGAATAAATATCGAATATGAGATTATCGACTTTGTTTTGGTGAATTTTTAAGGGCATTGGACTCGTGGCATTGTTTTCTTATAAACTTTTTTGTATCGATATTTTTTTATATATTACGATATAATTCTATTATAATATATTATGAAGAAGAAATTTTTGTAGAATCAAAGTGAAATGCAATATTTTCGAGAATAAGACTTCTCGATTATTAATAATATCGACAAATATTTTTTTTTAGATTTCATGAGTGACACACATTCTTTCAAGAGTAATAAATTAATATAAAGATTCTCATAACTTTTTTTGTATTTTTCGAGGCTTTAGTCCCTCGAAGGATTAATGGATTTAATGAATACAATAATTATGGTTTCTCGGAGCGTTACATTTCGGCGTAGCTCGTAATTAATCGAACAAAGATATCATCCAGAACAATAGAGTAGAACAATAACAATTAACGCGTCTTCTAAATAACCAAAGATAAAAAAGAAAAGTAATATGCAAATATGTATCGACCATCATTACTCATCTCTCATTACCTGTTGCCATAATAGATTATAAAACATTTCCAATGTTTCCTAGTCATTATGGTTGTTATTATAAATCTTACTCTTGAATGTGTTAAAATAGATCGCCATTCTATAAATGTCCATTACGTTACATATATACATAAATATAGATATATATACGTTACGTTGTCATTGGAGTTACCATTACCAATGTATTACCACATTAATGTGAAATAATGGCAATTAATGCGAGTGTCGAGGTGTTTTAATTGCAAAGTGTTATAAATATTAATGTGTAATCGTCAACGACACTGTGTACGCGCAATGTTTTTTCCAATTAACGATTAGGCGATATTCGTATATAGATGAATCGCATCGATATAATGACAGAAAAAAATAAACCGAAATGATATTAATCGTCAATAATAATTGCAGCAATGGTAACAAATGAGATATCCATGATATGCATTAGATACGGGACGTCGCATGTATTTCAAAGACGTCCCGATGTAGAATCTGTTACATTATTATGTTTAACGCGATATACGTAAGCTGAACTGTAATAATAAAAAATATATAAGCATAAAATATATACCACATGCGTATGATTATTTTTTTTTAATATCTTAATATGTCACGACATCCTCACAGCGCCGCATGTTCAAAACAATTTAATTTATATGCGTGAAATTAAACTGTGACACGCGTTTGCAATTTTTATTCTAAAACATATGTTTCAAAAATGCATTCATAAATGTATCATTTGTTTAGAATCAATAATTTCTACAAAGATCAAACAATGCGTAAAATTCATCAATATTTAAATTGCACATTATATATCATTATTATCGTCTCACATTAAAAAGGAAATCAAACGAGTTACAAAATGGTGTAAAAATTTTAAAACAAGGACTTGTCGAGTTCTGTATTAAGAGAACAATTTTTGTACATTCCTGCGCGGCTAAGATTAGCGGTAAAAGATTGATTTCGGGGATAATATTTCGTCGGCACTGTATGAATTGTCGGTGTGTACCAGCCGTAATCCATGGAAGTTTTCCAGTAACAAGGATGAGGAGGAGGATTATCTTGACCGTAACCTTTAAAACCTCCTGCGGAAGTCATTAACAATTAATAAATAATTAATGTGCACTGCATGCATAATAATGCATCGGTCACTATTTTGATATTTAACAAGCTTGACATAATCTTATTATATCAAATAAAATACATCTTGTTTTTGTTTCTTTTGCAAACTATTTTTAAGATTTATGATCGCGTTTATCTATGCTTTTTCTCGACTATCTCATTAAATCTCTAAAACTTAGCTCTTTATTTCGTGATATTATTTTATATACATAATGTTAAAATAATATATAATTTTTCTGTAAATTACATATACATTTACTTTTTGCTAATCACCTAGTAATAAATTTCTCGATTAATTAATTTTCATTGTATAACAGTTCTACAAAAAAGATATGTCATTATCTTAATTTTGTAACTCAGCATTATTTGCATAAGCTGCTTATGATAAATAACTGAGTTCTAGCCGACTTCTCGAGCCTACGAATCAACCTCCGTACATTCGTACGGAATTTGATACGACACGCTGCTGCACCGATATTGACCACGAATCGATCCGAGATCGTCCGCTAAAGAATCGTGAATCTTGAAGCCAGGATCCACAGTAAGATTCTTCATTCTCGAGAACGCCGCCATGTCCACGTAACGAATATCGTTGTTGTTTAGAAAGAGGAAAAGTAAATTGTCCAGGCCTTGAAAGCTGTCGGACTTGAGCACGGTCAATTGATTGCCGTTCAGCCAGAGCGAGCTCAGCGACTGCATGTGTCGAAATATACCGGCGGGAATCGTCCTCAATCGATTTCTGCCCAGATCGAGTTCGTTTATCTCGTTAAGACCGCGAAACACGTCGGGGTGCAAGGACGGGATCCTGTTACGCGACAGATAGAGAAGATCTATGTGCGATAATCCGTTGAACGCGCCGATCGGTATTTCCGATATCTCGTTCGAGTCCAACACCAGCGTTTCCAGCTGCCTGAGCCCCTTAAACATGTTTCTCCGCAATGCGAGCCGGTTGTTGGTGATATAGAGCTCGTGCAACTCCGAGAGACCCTTCCACGCGCCGGGTCGAAAGGTTGAGATGTTGTTGTAATCCAGCAAGAGTGTCTCCAAACTGCTCAGTCCCGAGAAAGCGCCCTCCTCCACGTTGACGATCGTGTTGTTTCTCAGGTCTAAATAGGTGAGCTCGTCGAGCGCTCCGAAATAATGTCGGCCGATACTCGACAATCGATTGTCGCGGACGTAGAGAGCGGACGAGTTGCTGACCTCGACGAAGGCATTCCTAGCGACGTCAACGATCCCGAGGTTCTCCAGGTGTAGCTCGATGTCCTCGATCGTCTGAACGGCGTTGACGTCCTCGAACGCGACGTCGCGAAGAACGTCGCCGGTCTCCAAACAGATATACAGGTGATTGTAAACCTGACAGTCGGCCTCCTCCGTGAAAACGATCGCGACGTTGCCCGATAAGAGGAGATAAATGAGAAGGAGGAAGGAGCACATGGTGCACTCGGAGGCTGAGTGTGCACTGACTTCGTATGCGCGCTTCGGAGTAGTTTCTTCGCGTACACAGCGTGGCTCAAGATATTATTAGTGAATATATATCAACGATAAGCCGCACACATGCCATACTACGCCATAACACAGTTCGCATTATCTTAGATTTAATAATTAATTTGTAAACTATCGGGGACCCTATTATAACGGAGCGCGGATAAAGTTATCGTCCAATATATATAACTCTTCCTTGATATATTAGTTAACTATACGCGAAAATTTTATTGGAAGTCAATTAAACACTAGCTCAGTTTCGGACGACCGTAATTTTTAAAAATATATAGCTTCTCGAAAAGAAATATTTTATTTTATCATATAAGATATAAAATTATATATTTTTTAATTATTGAGTTTAATAAGAATAATAATAAGATAATATAAGCTATTGTAATAAAAAATTAATAAAGATGTGACATATTATAACAACAATTATTTTGAACGAGAATAATTTAGTAGAATTTTTTTTAAATTTCAAATTAAATATTTCTGCATAAAAATGTTTTCTGTACCATACAATAAACAGACGATATATGTATATACCGGAAAACGACAAGAAATTATCAGTGATGAATAATAAAACCATATCAGAATCTCACACTTCACAACGTGCGGCGAGAAAAAATTCAGGCGCCGCTCGGTCCGCATATATTAACTTTGTGTATGGTTCGAGAGACGAGTTACTTGCAAAAGAGATTCATTGGAACACATATAAAAATGCTCGTAGGCAGATAAGATTCGACGGGTGCAGTGATCGACTCCGCGTCGGCTTATTAATAGCTGAACATTATCATGCCAGCTACTTGTAATTTCTCTGGACCAAAATATATAATGCAGCGAAACGATATCTTCTTGTATAAGAAGACACCTACAATTAATGTATTCGTTGACGCATTCAGAAAATAATTCTATCATCAGTGAACCTATGTATTATATCTATCTGCTTATGAAGCAACGCGCTGTTTTCGCATTTATATTAAAAATTTCGTATTTTGATGTAATTAATTATACAGTCTCTTTTATGTTTATGTTTTATACGAATGACGAATTAAAGTTCGAAAATGCACAAGTAGGATATATATATATATATATATTTAAATAAAGGGCGCATAGGAAAAGTATCGAATTTTCGTAGCACTTCAATTTTGAAAAAAATCAACGGTTTCCTATTACGTAATTGTGTTTACAATACTGAATTTGAGAAAGGTGACATGTAAATCGCATCGAATTGCGTCCGAGAAAAACGAGACTCAACACTTGTTTCTACATATATGTTGAACGTTTTTCAATTTCCAAGAACGTAACTTGAAATAAAATATTATCTAAAAAGTTGATATGAAGCACTTTTTAGAACTTACTTGGATATAAAAATCTTGATGGAAGATTGTTGGTTCGGTAAACCTCGTCAGTTTTTGGACCAAGTGCGGACGATTTTTCAACTTGATAATCCGCAAATTTTTCGTCACTACAAGAACACGATACGTTTACCATTTCTCTATCACATTAATTTAATACAATATATATTTGAATGTTATCAGATCTTCAACAATTACACTGCGAGCTTAAATTCACTTCTAAAACTCGGCCATGATTACTTAGTCGCTATGGAAACGATATACAAGGCACACAATCGATTAAACAAAAATGTATAAATGTATATAATATCTATACTAAAACACAAAGTAAGAGATTTTAATTATCACAAAATTTGAATAATTTTGTTTTATTTAAATATAAATCGTATGTATATATGTAATTAGTCGACGACGCAAAATGCGTCCACTGTTCGTTTCATGATAAATTACTAACATACCATGTAATAATAATTATTATTACCTATAAACGTGTGTTTCACCTAATAAATTAAAGCTAAACAATATATACCATGTATATTAACGTTATTATGCAATCACCTTCAACGCTGTACAAACATGAACGCACGTGTGAGAACTTATATATGCGTTTACGTTCTCTCGATATTATCATATTTTATTATATACTATATTTATTATAACTCTTATACCTTTACATAAATTAAAAGGCTATTAAATATTTTCATAAATTTTATATACTATTATACATATTTTAGATACTTTAAAAATATAAATAAAATTTTCCATAAAATTAAATAAAACTTTTATATATCGTTAAAATTTAATTGTATGTTTTATTAGTATATTCTATATAAAATTGTATTTATTCTTTATCATAATATATTTAATAGGTATATGTAAAATTAATTTAAGTATAGCTTCAAGCTTAAATGATCTCTCTCTTTCTCATTTCGTATTCTTATATAATAAAGCTAAATCTTTTTACGTTCGACGCAATAAAATAATATTCGATAAAATATAGTTAACTCGTATGAGTTATTTAGTTAGTTATGGGACTCTATAAAATATAAATCTATATAAAAATGTTATAATATTAATGCATTTTTATTTTCATAATAATTATAATAAACATTCTTACAATAAATATATTGCGACAAACATTTTCAAACTTTTGCAGCTACACTTTTAAGCACGGAAATGGAAATTTATGCATGTAACATACAAACTTAGAGATACGGGTCCCCTCCAACAATTCTCAGATTAGGGTCAACAGACTTGCCAGGTGAATGATTATAAGGCGATCGGACAGTGTTTTGCATTCAAGTAAAAATTTATACACTGCGCCACTTATATTATCGGACAACACCGATAATGGAAATGATCTTTCTTCATTTCGAGGACAGCAGTGGTAAAATGCGATAAATTATCGTTAAGTAAGGCGAAGCGTGATAATACGTGAATAGTTTATTTTCTTTCTACGTGAAACAAACATCTTCCATCTATATTTTAACTTCGCTTAACCTACATTATCACTTATAAAGGTGGATCTCATTTATAATTAAGCTAAAATCTACTTTTATTACATAATATTAACGACTAGATTTAGTATTGTTAAAAATTTTAATTTTAATGAGATTATTAACATAAAATACAGAATAATTTCATCATTTATGAAAGAAGAATTAAATACGGCAGAAAATTTTATTATTTTCCATGTTAAAAATAAATGACGATGATTATGCTACAATACGTTTTGTTTTTTAATGCTTTCAGGTTTTAAAATGAACAATAACTGTAGTTGATGTTATATTTTCTGAATAAATATTTTAAGAGTTTTATATGATGGATAGTATTTAAAAAAAAAGAAAAAAAATTGTCTTGAAAAAGGACTAATAACGAGAATGTTTAATTTATAAATTTACTTTATGTTGTGTGTGCAATATAAATAAATATACATAAAGATATCCGTTCCCCGTTTCTTTCAGTTCCACCTCCATTAACTAAACGACACAACATGTGTGTAGGTATAGACTTAATGAAACGATTATTATCACCGGCACTTCCAGTTGTGGTCTGGCTACCAGAAGGGAATTACTAGTTTGCGATAAGAAATACACCGTATGTACAATTGGAGGATTTTAAAATACTCGTGCTTATGTATACAGGTTTTCGAATTGCAATATTACAGTGTATTATTTTATATAAATACAATGTTAATGCACAAAAATTTTTAGCTGTAAATACTTTTTAAAAAATAAAATTTATTAAATATAAAAGTTGTGTACCGTGAAATGCAAATTAGTGTTTAATTTTATAATTATATTGTTTGTGCTTTAAGTCTTAAAATAAAAATAAATTATATCAAAAATAGATCAAATAAACGATATGTCAAATAATTCTCAATGATGCAAAAATGAATCTGCTTATTAATTACATTACATGATGTAATTGTGGATAAATTAAATCTTATAAGATTATTATTTTATTTCTTGTCATTTTATCGCATATGTTATAATAATATATTTGCATCACACACAAAACAACATAAGAAGTATATATTTATAATCTTATTCTTATTTTGTGCATAGATTCGAGATTATTTTTGAAAAAAATTTGTCATAATTTGACAATGATAATAAATATTATTAATAATTTTTATACAAAAATCTTCTGAATCTTTTTTGCGACTTAAATAATTTCTAACATCCAGGTTTGGCAAAGTATATATATAGAAAAAAACGATAAATACTATATAATAATAATAAATAATATAATTATCATTTATCAACATTTTCATATTGTCTCATATCCTGCAATTAGTCCCAAGGCTATTAGTATATGCGCCGCGGTTGCAACATTGTGTTGAAGAAGTTATGATTATAAATTTAAAAATAAAAAAAATGAATAAATTATAAATAAATAATTATTACAATAATAATAATATTATTATTGTAATAATTATTATTATAAATAATTTTTTTATAACTATAAAGGTGCCTTTTCGATGCACTCTTGACTTATTATAATTTCAATATCTAATATCTTCAAATTTTGTGTTGCCTTTTTATTGTTAAATTCAAAATATTTGAAAAAGAAGAAAAACATTTTGTGCACTGAAAAAGAAATTATTAACTTGATTAAACCTTTCAACTAAATATTATTTTAACTAAACGTATATTTGACTTAAATACTAATACATGTTTAATTAACAAAATAGTAATTTAGTTGAAAGATTTACAATTAATCAAGTTAACACATTTTTTCAGCCTTTATTTCTAAATCAAATTGTATTTATTTTATGTTTGAATCTCGTCCGCGCATTATTATAAAAAAGCGCGATTTTTTATTTTACTTTAACGCGTTTTATTAGATAAATTTTCACACGCACAAGTAAACGTATAAAATATAAACTAAAATATACCTTATCAAGACATTTTTTCCACACAAGTATAGTGTTTAATTTTACAATATTGGAAAACAAAACACCTTCTTTCAAGTTTATCATATAGTCGATTTTACGAAAATGATAAAATATAGCTTCTCATTATATATATTGATATTATTTTTTTAACTTCTATTATTCTCAGGAAGAATATTAATTAATTTCTCAATATATATTCATATTCTACATATATATAGGTATATTTTAAATCTCGCATTTTTTGTCATTAATAAATAATTTGCTAATACTTGGCAAGTTTAAGCGATTAATTGAACATTGAAATTCATCTGAAGAAGAAAAAGATTAATATAATGCTTTGTAGACAAGGGAAGTAAATCATTGGTAAAGAATTAAAACAGAATACAATAAAAACTATGACATTATGATATCAGAAATAAATTATCGAATTATGTCAGGCAATAATTAAAAATTGTAAAAAAAACTGATATATATATTATTATATTGCGACCTTTATTTCTATATCTTTTTTTGTATGGCTGATGAATAACGAGACTTTTCTCTTGATAAAGTTTTGTCATTTTATTACCGGAATCGGAATGTTTTTTTATGCATTGTGAAATGATCGTAAAAGCTGACATATTTATTTAAAAGCGAAATGACAAGTTCGTGATGATTGAAAATATAATTGAGAAAGAATCTTGATATTGACAAATTTTTTATTTAAAATCTCTTAAAATTTGTATACATAATTTCATTCTTTTGTGATACAAATTATCAAGTGAAAATCTTTTTATCCTTACATAAATCTCATATGTATATGAATTGAAAGTGATAATTTGTGTACATAATTTGGGATCAAAGGATCGTCGATCCTTAACAAATTATCACTTTCAATTCATATACATATGAGATACGATTGTATCTCATATGTATATATATATATAGATTTGTTAAAATTTTATAGCAAAATAATCTACTCCTACAATTACAATAGTAACATATTTCTAACAGGCATTGTAATTTGCTCTTCGTACTCGTTATATTTTCAGCTTCTCTTTTTACTCTCCGAAATTGATGGTTATTTATACCCAATTGTCCCAATCGTTTTCACATTTAACTGTTGACGCTATTTTGCATATCTCATTTTCATCATCGAAATATTTTCCCCAATCACATTCCTGTATTGTCTTCTTTTTATTTTTACATTTATAATACAATCTACAGTCGCACTCGTGAGACCATTTCGTAGAATCATCTTCTGAACAGGCGCCAGGTTTTAGTGGTGGTGGTTTGCAACCAGGAACTTCTTTAGCCGTACATGTCTGAAGGTCAGGATCGAAATTTTGATTTTTCGTACAATTCTTAAGGACCCACTCGTTATTTTTGCATCTGTAGTAGTTCGCGCAGGAACATTCGTGCTTCTTCTTTTCTCCGTCAGTACAAACCGACGGCGGACAACAAGCACCTTTTTTGCACTTCGACGAGTATTTATCAAAGTGATACCCTTTCTTACATTCGCGCAGGACCTTCCGACCGTTTTTGCATACGTAGTACTTAGTGCATTTGCATTCGTGAGGGAAATATTTGCCGTCGGGTTTGCACTCGGGTTTTGGGTTTGGCTTGCAATTCTTTCCTGGAACACAACGTTGCTCGTTTTCGTCAAAATAGTGTCCTGACTTACATTCGTGCAGAATCTTTCGATTATTTTTACATTCATAGAATTTATAGCATTTGCACTCGTGTGGATATAAGATATCATCATCGCATTCATCGTCGTCGTCATCATCATTATCATCGTCGCAATCCGATATCGCGGGCTTAACGCAGCCATTCCATGTTTGACTAAAGTGTAAGCCCTCCTCACAATCTTTCAAGACTTTTTGGCCCTTGCTGCATTCGTAGTATTGAGTGCAACCCTTTGCAACTATCAATTTCGGCGGGTAAGTGTCTCTCGCCGGACATGCGTCTGCTGCCACAAAACTGGTCTCATTTATCTCATTTACGGCGATCACCGTCTGGACCAGAAAGGCGATGGCGATTAGATATAATCCTGTGTCGGACAAAAAAGATTGCGATCAAATTAGCTGTTACAAGTGAAAAGAAAAGTCTATTATTATTTACATATAAAATTCGAATTTGTATAAAAAATCTCGAGACGTTTAATATAATAAGTATTTCAATTATTCGGACCGATATATTTTTCTCGTTTATATTAATTTTAGGAAATTTTAGGGAATTTGTTAGGAAGAAAGAGGAACTTATAAATCTCGATTTGAGAATGTTCCTCATCTTGGCAAATTTGCTAAGCATTATATGTTGACTCTCACAGCAATAGATTCTCTATCCTTGTTATTTTAATGCTAAATTAATACCTAATCAAAACATCACATACCAATGCTCAAGCTCGTATGACAATAAAAACAATGATAAATTATTAAATTAAGGCCATGTGTAACGAGCAATACGATATTATTTTATTATTGAGAAGAAAATTCTTAATTTGAAATAATAATTATACAAACGTTTCGAGCTCTACTTGCTCCTCTTCAGTGCGCAAAAAAATAGTGATAATAAATAACGATAATAAATAAATACATAAAATTCTAATAAAAAATCCGCAATACATAGTCAATATAAGTTATATAGTTGAGTCATAGTTAAAACGCAAAATATATTTACAATGAATTGAGACCATTAAAATAGTTCAACAAAGTAAGAACCCAATTAGAAGCAGAATGATTCGTCCGGTTATTCATAAAATATATTAGAATTATTAATAAAAACTTGGAGTGACACTTATACATTACTCCAAATGAACCACTTATCGTTATTTGACGAAAGTCCCTCGATCTGGCAATGATTATGTTCATCCTCTCCAAATTATTTGATATTTGTTAACTGAATTTAAAGAATTTATTCAATTGTAAAATAGGATTCCACTAATGTGTATGTGAAAAAAAGATTAAAAATTATAAATTAAACTAACTACTAAAATATTGAACCTTTATGCTTACAAATTGTTCCGAATAACTTGAGATGACGATGCTTCTAATTGTTGTTGGTCTTATTGTTAGTACTTGACTGTTGTCTAGTCTTTTAAAAAGTCGAATAAATAGGTGTCAGATCTCACAAAATAAACATTTACATAAGTCTAAAAATTCGATATTTCTTCTAGAATGTCGAAATACGCGTTGTTAAGCAATTCGGTGTCTGTGTTATTATTTATACCATGCCTTTGTTCCTTGATGTGTATCATTTCCGAGATAAGTCTTTTATAATAATTAGATTCAATATCAAGTATTTTAACGTTATCCCAATCAAAAGCATGTTTTTTATCCATAATATGTTCAGAGACCACAGAATGCTTGGAGGAATCAAATTTAATATTATTCATATGCTCTTTTAGTCTAGTGCGTAATTTTCTTTTGGTTTGCCCAACATACGAAGCTTCACAATTCTTACAATTAATTTTGTAGACAACATTATTATTATTGTTATGCACGTTTTTGTCCTTGTGGACTTTAATTAATTTGTTAAGATTATTTAGACAACGGTATCCTTGTCCAACGGTGTCCTTCAGAGTAGGACTGTTGTTGAACTATTTTAATGGTCTCAATTCATTGTAAATATATTTTGCGTTTTAACTATGACTCAACTATATAACTTATATTGACTATGTATTGCGGATTTTTTATTAGAATTTTATGTATTTATTTATTATCGTTATTTATTATCACTATTTTTTTGCGCACTGAAGAGGAGCAAGTAGAGCTCGAAACGTTTGTATAATTATTATTTCAAATTAAGAATTTTCTTCTCAATAATAAAATAATATCGTATTGCTCGTTACACATGGCCTTAATTTAATAATTTATCCTTGTTATTTTAATTATGTTGAACGTTCTTACCCTTCATCGCCTGTCTCTTGCTTTACTCGTACTTGAGAAGAGAAGGAAATATCGTATCGTATGTGAAATTAACCCTTCACTGTGATTCGTTTAGATACATCTGAATGGCTAAATTCGAGCGTACCCGCTTTTATACATAGGCATCACGTTATCAGAAATTTAGGACAGATTATCATTATCTGTTAAAAAAGATTATCAGAAGTGTATTTACTTTCTGTTAAAGTTGTTGAACCCTAAACACATTTTCTCGAAACCTTACATTTTGCATGGGTCTGCAGAGAAAAAAAGACAAATATATATTTAATAAAAGTATAATAAAATATTTGTTTTTGAACTGTAGCGTTCTATTTACATACAAATAAATTCTATTAATTTAAATAAAGTTACAAATATTTATAATATTTTAATTATTTTATTATTTAAAAAAATAGGATTTAAAAAAAAATAATTTTTTCTCATTTCTTTTGTTGTAGTGATTTGTGCAATATATATTTTATTTAAATCGCAAGATTTATTGAAATTTATGAATTTGCAAGACACTTAGGTAGCATTCAATTAATATGCCTAAATATATGTACGGTCTTAATTGAAAATACTTTTATTTAGAAGAGAAGATTATCAGTCATATAATGTATTACAGAAAATATATATACTTACAGATTTGGGCAATAAATAATCTTTTCATAGCACATCGTAAATCGATAAATATATGATGTAACAAAAATTGAAATAATATTCATATCTTACGTTTTATCCCTTGTTTTTATTGTTTAAATTTGATTTCAACCAAGAGAAGAGAAAGAACATTATTAAATATGTATATTCTTATTATAGCTAAAAAATATAAATAATGTGTAATAATTAACACGTGTCAAATAAATCTTGATAATGATATATTTTTGAAGTACAAAAAAAATCTATAACATTTAGATAAGTAAAATATTACGAAATAGATCGAAATAGTTTCTTTATCTAAGTGTTCTTAATAGTTAATTTATCTCTCTGTTCATCACCTCAAATCTGATAAAAAAAAATGATAGCAGCAGATAAAAAGAGTTAAATTCGGTTACAATGTTACAACATTAACTCTATGAACATATCTATAATTACAATTATTACGCGTTATTGAAAAAAAAACTTTTGAAATAAAACACCTGTAAACAGTTTCTAATTCTTAATTTTTTATTTTTTTATTCTTGTGGTAAAACAAAATAAAATTCTTGGAACTCTATAAATAAAATTTATTTGTAATCATAGAGTTACAGAAGTTACGACAATTTTATTTTTACTAAAATTGAAATTTTATTAGATAGATTTTACAGAGCCTAGTTAAATTCTTAATTTATTAGATAGATTTTTTAAAAATATTTTTAAAATAATATTTTTAAAAATATGTTTTTTTTTATATTAATGTATAATGTGTCTAATTTTACAGCATCTCCAATTATTCTTGTTGCTGTATTCATGAATTTGTCATATACTTAAACGTTTCATAGTTCATATATAAATCTTTCGATATGCATTGCATATTAGATATTTATCATCAAATAATGAAAAATTTTTTTAAACAGAAGAATCTTGAGTTTATACTCGAAATGAAGACAGGATCTTAAAAATATCAATTTTCGGTAAATAAAAAAACCCCACCTAACCTAATTTGTTATTGTAATGTCAATCAATTAATACAACATCATATCGATGATTGACAACATTAAGCATTGCAAATTGTTTTCCTGTCACAAGAGAGTTAAACTTACAGGGAACAAAGGCAACCGGAGACCCGGAGATTGATCGAATGCGCTTTACGGCTTACTCGAGCTGCAGCAAAGTTCGCCAATATGACGATGGCGATGCGGGAAACGTGAGATTCAAACAACTGTGGTGAATCGCGATATACATATACGTGCGCATACTTGATATACGAAGCGCGACAGAATTTTCAGCGATGATCACGAGCTATAACGTGATGCCGCTGAGGAAGCACGCGGAAATCAGTTACCACGTGAAATGCATCGCGGTGGAAAACGAGCGCGTGTTCGGCGACGTCTACGTCACCCAGCAGACGTGGGATCGGGTTTGCCAGCCGGAGAATTACGCTTTTCTATCGGAGCACAGAAGGCGGAGGCGCAACTTGATACAACGAACCCTGGACGGACCGGATTTCATGAAGCTGAATAGCAAACAGCCGACCGGAAATGCGAGATCGTGCTGGCAAAAACGCAGCAAGTCTGTGGGGGATAAGCCTGGCATGATCGCGTTTAATTATGAGAATGCTGACAATCGCGACACGATCGCCAAGAGACCCAAGGTAAACGTTTCCATAAAGCGACTCGAGATCAATCGAACCTCATCAGGAAGTCTTGTAAGCCAGCGATATATAGACGGGTTTACTTTGAATGGATATCTACTTGTTCTGGTTCGAGAATGTTGACTTAGGCATTAGCATGAGAACTTGTAAGAGTTGGAATATGTATCTATTTGAAACTGATTTGAGCTTCCTGGAGAAGCTTTTTCAATTTATCTGGTAATAAATATATATGTGGGATTTTTAGACGTGACGTATACAGGGTGTATCTAAATAAGTGTGAAAAATTTTAGATGATTCTTTGTCGAAAATTAAGGGGTTTCTTACATAAACATATATACTCTTATATCCCTCTTTTCTAAACAAAAAATATTCACAAGTTTCATTATTTTGTCTGCAAAAATTTTATCTTCCCCTTTAGAAAAATGTAACTCTTCAGGAAGGGATAAAAATATACAAGAAACTCACCTTAATTTTCGATAAAGAATCATCTCCTAAAATTTTTCGCACTTATTTAAATATACCCTGTATATTTTCTAATAAAATATTTACAGCTTAAACTTTTCAAATACTTTCTTCATCGCGCTTGAAAATTTTCTCACGATTTTATGGACGATGATATAAGTTAGATGTGCTGGCAGTATAGACTTAGATAGATATATAATATGTATAACGGGAAACTTGGAAGCAATAGCTTCGACAGGAAGTAATAGAAGTTAACGTTACTATATATATAAAGTGAACAGTCACGTCACTTTTCTTTTCGTTCCTCTTAAATGTATCGCTTTATATGAATTTCTTCTACGTTATTTTCTCACGAAGAAACATTTCCAATACATTGTCTCTGATTTTATTATAGATATACCCGCCACCTTTACGTTGCTCACCGCCGCAGAAAGAAATTATGATTACCTCACTAGTGGATCAACTATTGTTGGACATTTATGGCATTCCGATGGGTGACAGGGAACGTTCAGAAAGCGAATCAACGGCATCGTCCTTGAAACCACGCCCGCAACATCAATATCTGCAGAAAGCTCGTCTGCTATTGAAAAGTAAGACAATTCAATACGAGCGAAATAAATAGACGTCGCGGAAAAAGAGGCACGCATGAAAGCTCGCATCCATCTCGACGATTTAAATTCCCGGTAATAAGCAACGCGATTCATTATTGCCAGTGACGCTCTTAAATGTCACAAAAAATTACTTTTATATGTTATAAAATTATTGAACAAACAAAAAATATATAATATAAATCTAAATCACAAGAAAGGCGTAAAGAGCCGGATATTGCTGCGTACATTTCCAACGAAACTAAGTTTTCGTTGGAAATAAACCGTGCACAATTAAAATTTGAAATAATCTCATGCTTGAGATTTAATTTCAAAAACCCCCCTAACTCCCCAACGGAAATAAATAAATAAATGCGAGAGAAAATATATATATATATTAAATCCTTTCCTATAAAAAAATATAGGTAACATTTGAATTTCTCTAAAATGCAGAGATTCTTGTTCCTTACAAAGATCGTCTTTTGTAAATAACATCAAAGATCTAATGAATTTCTACTTTGCAGTCGTGCATAAATGAGTTTAATAAGGGTGCTGAGTCTTCTCAAAACTGAAAGCTCTCTCTCTCTCTCTTTTTCTCTTCTCCAAACCTCTCCTTATTCTAGAACAATAAAAGCTTGGTGCAATACTCTTTGATTATTTATTCGCGATTAAACAATTCTTTATATTCCTTTGTAATATTACAATATATCAAAAGTCAATATTGCATATTTATTATATTAAACAATATTACAAATATGGATTTGGTTTCTCTTAATTAAGATAGCTATAATAATTATCTTTCAAACAACTTCAATGTAAGGCTTTACAATAAAATTACGTTTTATAGAATAGTATGTTATATAATAATGATAAAGGTGAAAATGGAGAATTATCCTATGCATTTTTTCTTTCATTCTTTTTTTCTAATAACGCCATTATTATTCACCGAATTATCGTTTTACAAATTTCTTTCAAAGATTTTTCGATCGTATAACCTTTGGTTTTATGAGTAATGCAACTGGTTATCGCGATAACGTGTACAGTCATTTAATGCATTTGCAATATGCATGCTTTTGTGTTTTTCGCGCTTTCAGGATTTTTGAATTAATTGTGTTCCAGCAAGACGACACAAAGACAAGGAAAACAAAACCTTATACGTTTTTTTATGATATAAACGTGCAAGTAATAAGTGTTATTAGATTCGGTTACTGCTACATTTTAAATAATTTACGCGCTCATTTGCCGATATTAAATTTTTATTTGTGTTAAAAAATAAATAAAAAAATATTTTATTAAAAATAAATATTACATATAATATGTATTATAATATAATATTACATATAATATATATTATAATAAAATATATATAATATCATATTATATAATATTATCAACAATTATTAATATTATATATATTAAACAGGATAATTTTATGTTTAGGAAAGGATGAACTGCAGATCCTGCTTGTGACTTTACATGATCACATCATTCACACAGGCGGACTACTTATCCGCCAGCTGCGTCGAAAGGATTATCTTATTTCCAAACGTGACAAACAGTATGATATTATTACGGCTTATTTGCAAGCACACAGCGCAAAGCGATGTAAGTAAATATTTTCCTTTAAATATTTTGCGTTAATGTATAAAGCTTTTTTGAAATCTATTTAATGTATATCGCAAGCTTCTAAATTTCACAATATAAAATTTCTAACGAGTATATGACTCTAAAAAAACAATTCAAGCAATTTATCATTAATATTAATCTGTAATTTATTCGATTCATCATTATTTAATTAATTCAATTAAAAATCATTAATATATGCAAATGAAAAAAAGATATAACATCTTTCTTTATACAATTATTTTGCAAACCATTTTAATTTATGTAGAGAGGAGACCGTCATTAGTTATATTCAAAGATTTTCGACGTAAGCATTTTTTTTTTGAGGTTGTTGAAAGACCCTTTTTCCTAAAGATATTGTCTGTAATTACAAATTTATGAAATGGTAGTTCTAAGGAAAGAAACATACTCTTTATTCTGGATCAGAAATATCCTATAAAGAGCTTGTTAAAAAATACAAAAGCATTGCCAGAGCATAGAAACGTAACCAGGTTTTAGAAGATTAAAGAGGCTTAAGTATTTCCTGCTTTTTAACTTTACCCTTTAGAATACGCGCAAAGTTCGAGAAATATATTTAAACTCGGAATAATTTGTCACACGCTATGTGTAAGCCTCATTAAATTTCAAATTAATCTTAAAAGATATAATGAAGAGCTTCATATAGATATCTGATTCTTAGACCAGAATCCTCTCTCAGTTCTATTTTCTTGCAACATATGTTATAAAAATTCTTCAGCTTTTTTCATATTTATATCATCGTATTCATACTCACTACTGTCACTTACGAAAGAATATCGTGCGAGGAATGTAAGCTAGAAAAATTCGACGTGATATATAATACCGGACCAGCTGTTCTCGGGGATCCGTCTAAGCGTCGCGAGGAAATCGTGGCGTCAAGTTGCCGACGAAACGCGAAGAAACGAGCTTTCATATGCGGCGACGCGGTGATCAATAATTAGACTTTGCCGCGTCTCTCCGTCGGATCGTCGCACGCATGCTCCGCGGTACGAAGTTCCGACGTGGCGTCATTGATAAAGTTTCGCGGTGCTGTTGCGCTCGCGTCGACGGGAAGAGAGATATATATGTTATGCGGGAACTTTTCCCCCGTGTGTCGGCCCTTCGCCGAAGTTACCGGCGTTCAACCGGCGCGGCGCGATGAACTCGAGGAATGAACTTCGGGATGAAGAATGCGCGCAAGACGGCGCGCTTTAAACTGTAAAGGAACAATTTCGTCGTAAACTTTTTGCAAGAATTTTGACGTTCGTATTTTCACGCAAATACCGCGCATTTACGGCAACAACTCAACTTGGCGAAAATTGTTGTCTGTACCAACAATTTTTTACCGACCTTTTTGGAGTTGCATTTCAATTTTATCAATGTAGAAACTTTCATATTAATTATATTAATTATTATATCAATATTATATATTTATATTAATTATATAACAATCGATGAATTGCAAACATATAATTTCTATTTTTAAAATTGATAAGGAACTCCGGAACTCTTCGGAGTGCACTCGGAACTTAAAGAAAAAAATTCGTTTTTTTTTTAAATAGGGTGCCAACTTCACAAAGATTATAATTTCTAAATTTTTAAAAATTAAGTTAATCACAAATAACTATATCTGTTCTCTTTATTTATAATTTATATTAATTTATATTATATATAATTTATATTAATTATATAACAATCGATGAATTGCAAACATATAATTTCTATTTTTAAAATTGATAAGGAACTCCGGAACTCTTTGGAGTGCACTCAGAACTTAAAGAAAAAAATTATTTTTTTTTTTAAATAGGGTGCCAACTTCACAAAGATTATAATTTCTAAATTTTTAAAAATTAAGTTAATCGCAAATAACTATATCTATTCTCTTTATTTATAATTTATATTAATTTATATTATATATAATTTATATTAATTATATAACAATCGATGAATTGCAAACATATAATTTCTATTTTTAAAATTGATAAGGAACTCCGGAACTCTTCGGGGTGCACTCAGAACTTAAAGAAAAAAATTAGTTTTTTTTAAATAGGGTGCCAACTTCACAAAGATTATAATTTCTAAATTTTTAATAATTAAGTTAATCACAAATAACCATATCTGTTCTCTTTATTTATATAATTTATAAATTGATTTTTGAGAGAAAAAGAGAAAATAAAATCCCTCAAGTCTCATTTAATGTTTTATGTCATATTTAACGAGTTCGTACACGAACGTGGCGAATCCTTTATAACAAATGATAACTTTACTATGGTTTTTTTAGATCGCTCTACTACCGTTCTGCTTCGTCCGTAATTTATTGATCTCACGTATTTTTAAACCACCTACCGAATAAGATAGATTCGATACCTCGGTCCAACGCGTAAATATTATCTACGAACTCTCTTTCCGTGCCATTAAACCGAGCAATGCCGGAAGCGCAACGACCGTCCTCGTACAAAATGAGCATGTAATGAACTACACGATACGGAAACTTTCTGCTCGAAACGATTATTACGGAGAGAGCCTGATATTATAACTTTTCATAATGCTCGTAAAGCTTGTAACGCTAGATTACTTGCAACCGTGGGTAATCGATCATGACTATTCAAATAACAAGTTTTATATATTATATTATATATAATACGTACGTAATAAAGAATTATATTTTTAAATGTGTAGCCAAATCAAAAAGGTAAATTTAAAATATCATAATAAAAATTTAAAAAATATAAATTCTTTAAAAATTTTCAGATTATTTTTGTGTCAATTATATTTTTAAAACAAATTAACAAAAAGTAATTAAATTAATGTAACCTATAAAAGTCAGATCTTTTTATACGTCCTAAAATATTCTGCTTATGATATATGAAACAATTTCCTGTATCACCCTATTATTTCGTTTTAGCGAAGAAATGTAATCTCAAGCGCAAAATTATGGCTCCTATCTATATAATCAATATCCATTGAAATCCATATTCGTTGATTATTGGTTAGCAGCTGCATGTTATTAATAAACAGAAACTCGTTATTTTATACAGATCAAATTGGGTTAAATCAACGTCACGAACATATCATTTCGTGACAATTTGTCGACACGAGGCTCTCAAAGATTCGTATCATAAATATTTCAATATTATCAATCACAAAATAGAAACATTATTCTAGCACTAAAAAACAAATATATTCGCGTTTATGTGAATATTAATCAAAGAGATTAAACATATACATCCTTCTATTTCTCGTAACGATGTTAACTATTTTGAGTGACCTACAAATGGATAAAATCAGTGAAGACGTCGTCAATTCTTAATCCACGAATGTTCTCATCAATAAACTATATTGAGGCTAACAATGAACTTCATTCTTTCTGGGATTGATGAAATGAAAAAAATACAAATTAATCAAATTTTCTCAAATTTCAAATAAAAATTGAACAAATGCTTTTTAATTGTATATTGGGAATTTTTTTATCTTATAATAATGACTATACAATTTTATCATAAAAAATAATTTCCCAATTTATTTTAGTTTTAATTTAAATCATATTATATTTTGCTGCGATGTTATATTTCATTTTGAGACATATCCATCGCAAAGGTGCGTGCTTTTGCATATATATAAATATATATATATATATATATATATATATATATAGGCGTGAATATATAATATAATAAAATTTCTATAATAATGAAACATAAAACTTTGAAGATATAATCCTCACGTTCGCTTGATCTAATCCTTCTTCGCGAGGAGGTACACATTAGATAAACTGGCGTTACGCTACTTCATTTAATCGAGGCCTGTAGCCATTAATCTTTTTACGGATGAACTATTCAGTGTAATAAAAATTTAATTGCCCGTTACATCACATGTCGATATTTATTACGGCGTATAACTGTGTATACGTTAGTTATTGCGAATATTACATCAATCTTTTTTATTTAAAGTGACAACTAAGCGCGCACACGCTTGAACTTTAAGATATATTTCATTCAAACTGTCAACTAAATTAATAATACAATTTCTTAACGTAACAGAAATCATATTTCTTAGGTGTCATTTGATTCATATCGGTTAATGTTATCAATTATAAGTTATCGATAAAATATAATGAATAAAAAGATAATAAATTAGTTAAATAATACATTTCTCTAATATAAATATAAGTATATAAAGATTATATAAATATAACGATATTATATAGTTTTGCAACATATACGTAAAACGTTTAAATTGTATACTAATCATTTGACTGCCAATCAAATCTTTTAACATATTGTCATACATTAATTTGAAAATACTAAATGTTTGATGCATAAATGTCATTCTTAAATTCTTTTCTTTTTTTATCATATCTCCTCGAATAAATAATAACAATGTTTTGTGTTTTCTAAACGTATACACAAAAAATAATGTTTAATTCATTCTTTTGTAAAATAATGTTTTATAGATAATAAAATTGTTAGATGATTTGTTTCTTAAATCTTTCATCTTTGTTCTAATCTAATAATGATAAATATTAACTTAATTTTTAGCTCTTTAATATTAATAAATGGAAAAAAATTACTGTGATGAACAAGCAACCTTTCTAGTTCTGAACAAGTAATTGCCATGTAAAAGTACATGGATTTTTTTCAGTGTAGAAAAAAGAGAAATTTTGCGCGCAAATTTATTTGTACATAAACAGAGTGTCCTAACTTTTTCAGATTTTTCAAGATCAGAAATTAATTTTTTCCCTGACTTTTTAGTATTATTTTTTCCAAATATATAATTTGCATATATCTGTATGATAAATCAATTAAATGTTAAATCATGAAATCCTTGAGATATTTTTGTCAACAATGAAAAGGTTCGGGAAGTTAAAACAAAAATTTAAATCAATTATACAATTTGCATTATGTACGATAATCCAAACAAACATGTCTATTTAAATAATCATCTTTTTTATTTATATTATATCAAATTTTTTGTCTCTATCAAAC